TTATTTATAACAATAAATTCACAGAAGGGTGAATTATTTTGACTTCAACTGATAATCATTTGAATAATCGTGATTAAAATTATGACCAAAATAATCGTGATTATGTTTTTTCCCCATAATCGAGCAGCCCTAACGTGTTGGTGCATGTAATACTGTTTCCGGGTTTAAACCGGAATCATTTGAGTTGAGAAATTATTTGTTTATGATCACTTTTACTTCATATCACACATTAAAGTTAATTTTATATGAAGTCATAGTGTACACAACAATCTCTGGGCTTGCTGCATCACAAATACCAAAATTCTAACAATTAATAAAACAACGAATCACTTTCTGGCCATCGAATATTAGCCATGGACATATTAATTGCGATCGTGATTTTCGAAAGTATTAAATCGCTTTGTAAACGTTTATTATTACCATTTCATAAGTCTCCGAATACATTGAATAGAGCACTTGGACCCGGAAGCCGCTTCGCGTGAGGTCACACTTAACAAGCGGATTGCGGATACACACATTGCGATATCAAGGCTGAAACAGTATATTTTGTACCCCTAATGGATGGCTTATCAATGTCTGGCAGGTCTTTTGAGAATAACCAATGCCACGTTCCTCCATGCACTGATTTATCCAGATCTAAAGCTGTTGTTTGCATGAATGTGAGCTGTGTTTGGCAGATCGAGGCCTGCGTTGGACTTTCTGCCTCCTCCACTGGAATGAATGAGTGCTGGTTTCTGCCTCTGCATTCCTGTGCTGCTCGGTGTCAGTCACCTGCTGTTCCTGCGCCTCCATCTGAACTCTGTCGAACTTGTTTTCTTCTTTTGCAGCCCGAGACAATAGGCTGTCTTGTCAGCCTGAAAGACCTGTGGCTTGATGGAAACCAGCTGTCTGATATACCCGCGGTAAAGCATGCCTGACACATCATCCTGTACATTTCATCTTGGAAAGCTGTCCGTCTGACTGTCAGATCAGCTCTTTGTGTTGCTGTTGTACACACATTCTGATTTTTCTTCAGAGCTGGGTTAGTTGCCGTTTCTGTGTGGAGTTCGCATGATCTCCCTGCGTCTGCGTGGGTTTCCCCCACAGTCCAAACACATGCGGTACAGGTGGATTGGGTAGGCTAAATTATCCGTAGTGTATGAGTGTGTATGGATGTTTCCCAGAGATGGGTTGCAGCTGGAAGGGCATCCGCTGCCTAAAACATGCTGGATAAGTTGGTTCTTTATTCTGCTGTGGCGACCCCGGATTAATAAAGGGACTAGGCAGAAAAAAAAAATTAATGAATTATTAAAGTTGAAACGGTGCAGTTTCATATGCCTGAATGTTTCTCATTATACAGTCACAGTCCTCAAACACACATGCAAATGATTAATATTTATACCAACTCAACATTGCTTGTCCTGCAATTTGTCTTGTAGACATTAATAAAATATAGTTTAATGCATAATTCAATAAATAATATGAATAATACTTGGTATAATTACTTTTCTTTGCATTGCTTTGAGAGTTGGGCCAGGGTTAGACGCTAATAAAATAGAATTTAATGGATAATTTAATCATTAATATGAACAATACTCTGTATACTTACTGTTTTTACATTACTGTGAGAGCTGGGTTACACTGTTAAAAACAATAGTTGATTTTACTTAAAAAATTGAGGAATGGTTAACTATATGAACTATGTGCATAATTGTAAAAATTAAGTTAAGTCAACTTAATAGTTCTAAGTTTCAACAGAAATATTTTATAATTTGCCAGTAAAATCAACTAGGCACTTTTAAAAGCAATGGGTTTACTCACTTCAGAAAAAACAAAACAAAAAGCGCTCTGGGGTAAGTTCAAATGTATGGTCGGTGCTCTTTGGGTAAGGGATTCATCAAATCTGCAACAAGAATCAGTCCAAGGCACTCGAGTAAAGTGAAAAAATTAAAAAGCCTTTATTCACATGGCTAGATCTCTAAAAACCAACGCGTTTCGGCAGAAGTCTGCCTTCATCAGGATAACAGTGATCAGGTGCGTCTAGAGTCTCTTTTGAGTACTACGGTCACATGACTCATTTAAACATCTCAAATGGCACTCAAATAATTTAACAAGCAAACTCTACTACCATCATAAATGGTATACTACCATCAGATGCTTTACAGATTGTCATTATACATTGATGTATGTGTTTATATGTATGTATGTATTTTCCATGTATGTGTATATATTGTATACATGTATGTGTATGTATGTATGTATGTGTATATATATATGTATATATATGTATATGTATATGTGTATGTATATATACGTATATGTGTATGTATGTATATATATATATATATTCTTTTTTCTTCTCTCTCTCTCTCTCTTTTCCCACATATGCAAGTGGGTGTTTGTGTATCTATGCCGAATTTATGATGGTAGTAGAGTTTGCTTGTTAAATTATTTGAGTGCCATTTGAGATGTTTAAATGGGTTTACTCACTTGTCTAAGTAGTTGCTTTTTACGGTGTCGGATTAGATGCTAATAAAATAGAGTATAATGTGTAATTTAATAAATAATACGAATAATACTGTTTTACATTACTGTGGTGATTGGAGTAGAGGTAGACATTAATAAAATACAATTATAATATTTAAATCTTGTTAACTTCCGGCCAGAGCTGTTTCCCTTCTACACTGTAAAAAAAAAAACAGTGGACTTAACCTAAAATTTAAGGCAACAAACTAAAGGACATTTTGAGTCGACTCAACTTTCAACCAAATTACTTCACTTGACTGGATTTGAGTTAACTCAAAAATGTCTGTTGTCTTAATTTTAAGTTGAATCAACTTAGTTTTTTTTACGGTGTAGCAGCAACCCTTTCTAAAACAACCCAGTTTAAATGAACCAAGGATGTTTTGGCTGAAGCAAGGCTAGATTTGAGCTGTCCGTGGAAATCTAATAGACGCCTGTCAATAGTCCAAAACTAGACGTCTATTAGATTTTCTCTGAGCGCCCAAATTGGGCTTGTTT